ATGAATACCGTTTACGATTATGTAGCCATAGTTATTAATCTGTCTTCGTATATTGTACGCGCGAAACTGACTCGTTTCGGCTTAACTTGAAATTAACTCGTCTTTCGACTTATCTTCGAGGTGAATCTCGTTTTTCCCGTGGCTACGTTTCATCCGTATTCCGGGAGTGTAGCGAACATACTTTGTTCCCACATCGGTAAACGCACTGTGTTCGCGTAGATATGCAAATCGATATTGCTCGCGTCGCTATGTAACATCTAATTGTCTGTCATAAGCATATAATCGTGTTCTCCGCGCAGGTTTCTATGCATGTTTTAACCTGCTCGTGTACGTATGCATGTACGTATGCCCGTCCGTGCGTGTTAGAGATATCTGTTATGTCTACGTTTACTAATCGCACGTTATATTTGTACCTCTGAATAATGATAGGGATTTCTAAATGTACGAGAAGTCACTCTCACGATGATTTATACTATATGCTTCTGTTCGTAATCAAAATATGTAACCGATCTTTTACAGTTCGTAAGCGTAAGCCGAAACGGTTCCAGAAATAACTGTTCATAACGGATATACGATAGTTTCAAGACAATTACGAAGAACCGAAATGGATACTACTGTTATAACGAGAAAGATTTTTAGTCGGTATTTGTTCAATTATATAATAATATGTAATTAAACGATTAAAAAATTATTAAATTATATAAAGTGGACAGAATCGTCATTGGCTATCATAACCTAGACTATAATCACGAACCACCCTATTATTTCTCCAATCCATACGAATAAAAATTCTGATCCGTCTGATACGAAGTCAGATTGGTAAATGAGCTTTAGCTACGATCGCGAAACTTTTATACAGCCAGCAACCGTGACACTGTAGGACCGATCCGTCAAAAAACGGTAAAAAAAAACATTTTTAGAAAAATTTGGTTTTAAAAAAAATTTCTTTTCCTAATTAGGACTATGAAGCATGATATAATACGATTCTTTTAAATATTCGGACATTTTTAACATCACTACACTACTTCGAAGAATTAAAATTCCAAAATACGTGAAAAAAAATATCCTCTCTTCTAAATGCTACGCCCATTATAATTGAACGGTGAATGATATAATAAAATCTAGCACACTCTTAAATTGAGCAAAATTTCAAATTTCTTTTTGCAATATTTTTCTAGTTACACCGATTAAAATATTTTTAATGTTCACTATACCTTCTCGTTGTCCATTCGGCAGCATTCGGCGTTCATCCTTATGACATCTTAACGATTGAAGTCTCCTCTTTATTTTGCAAAAAGAATTAATTGCCACTGGCTGCAACTCCAAAAGATATGTGAACAAAAAGTTGCTACGGCACTGGCTGTTAATCACGTGGTATCGCTATAAGACTTGCAACTAAATATCCTAATCCACAACCGAAATCTAGAATGTACGATCGATATTACGTTATTGCGTAATATCTTTATATGATTTGCACTCACAGCACTATATTTCACACGTGTCATTTTAAAATTGAATAAAAGTTAGGAAAACTACTACGACTATCTGTCTTTTCGAAGCTGTGTTAAGTAAATATCGTAACTGACAGTCGAAATCTAAAATCTATAATCGATATTAGCTAACGATGCACTATAACGTATATGCACTATGTAACGCCACTTTGTTCCACTTGTGATATATTACCATCAAACAATTGTTAGTAGTTAGATACCTTAATCTTGATAAAGTTTTCTTCATTTCTTAATCTTGTGATGTGACCCGTTCGTAAATATCACGACAGTGTTGTAAATGTAACCTGCAGTTCCAATGTTCCAATGTTCTGAAATAATAGCTGACACTGAGCGTTATTGCTTTTGAATAACTATTCTACTGGTTGTAACAATTAAAATGTTTATCAGTGACATCACTACTTCACGAAACGTTTCGCATAGACATTAAAAATTTCACTTTAACGCGCGAAAATATTCCGCCATGTATAACCGGTACGTTCGATTCGGCATCGACTACGTTAGTAGGTGACTACGTTAGTCAAGCTAGTCGTTTTTTTGCGCGGGAAGATGCTTCATCTTTGAAATAGCTATATGCTAAATTATCAATGTAGAATATCAAATAAATCTTATATTTACTAATGTCAATGAAGCAAATACAAATATGTTGATGTTACGAAAATAACAAATTAAAAATAATTAACGACGTCTACAAACTGCAAATTAATTAATAGAGTTTGAAGAATGATTTGCAAAATTTTATATTTTCAACTTAATAAACCAATTTATTAATAAAATTAATTATTTTTATCAATAAAATTGATAAAGAGAAACTCAAAAACCACTTAAATATATATTCAAAATTTATAAAGTACAGAGATAAGGTATATATATATATATGATATCAGTTGAAAAATATTTTTTGCCGAATTTGAGTGCATCTGTGCGCCATTTACCAAAGGTCAAACAAAAAGTCGCTATCATTACCAATTCCTATTACAATACATATATTTTTATATATTATAACTATATTGAAGAATTATACCCTAAACATACTATTTTATAATGATTTATAAATTTTAGTATTTTAAGACTTAAATTACATATTTGTTAATTCTTTAATAATACGAGCTATTTATTAACCACGTAAAAATATAAATTTTCATTTATAAATTGACTCACACGATGCGACATTTGTTCCTTTGATCTACGTTATCGGTTACGCTAGTTACTGTGGAACGTCATTTTCATATTCACGACTCTAAATGGTAGAGGGCAGAACAAAACTCTGACTTTTTATACGTGAGATACAAACTTTCGATGTGTTAAGTCTTTTGTATTTACTTCTGGTGATAGGTTATTCTATATTTATTATACGTATGAAAAATTAGTCTAATAAACAGCCGGAAAATAATAATCGATAGTGGCAAACGTGGATATTGTGAAAGGAAATTAATACCATCATTCAGCAAGCAATTTTATAAACAGTTCGCAAAATCAATAAGAGAATTGATTTAAGAACCGAAATAGAAACGATATCAAAATATATGTATATATAGCACATAACCCATAACAGTAATCGAAATAGAATCGATAAATAATCGATTTTGCAGAAGCTATTGAAACCGTAATCGAAATCGATATCTTTGTTGATAACAGTTATAAAAAATAACGATTCTTCAAAATTGTTTCCTGAATTGAAATCGATATTATAAATTTTAATCCCTGCTAATATGATTGGAAGATAAATATTAGCACAAAATTCTTTGTAAAAGTCACAATCCGTTGAATAGCTTGAATAACGCTTGTGAATAGGTTAATGTGAACTAGTCTAAACGATCCCCACCTCCTACGTTTGTGACAAGGCTTTACGATATAGTCGCGATCCATATCTGTACCTGTGTAAACGTGTTTGTGCGTATCTACATAAATCCACATGTGTTTCTCCAGACGCTGAATCGCATTTCATGTGTACGAAGTGACAGCCTTCGCTGCAATAACAAGGTAACAAACTTTTAATGAACGTATTCTACGCGTTATTTGCAAGCACGCACATTATTTTCCTGTAAATGTCAGTAAAGTGGCATCTGAGTAACATAAATAGCATTTGGACGAACGATCAATCAGATCTGTCGTATTGAATAAATGATGCATCTATTAATTTCTTTCGTATTAGTTACTATCTTCATTGGAAAGAAAGTGTATGCATGTCATGGATCATAGATCATTTTATGTATTATTTCTTCTTGTTTAGAAATAATTATTTTATAAGACACGAAGTAAAAAATATCTCTGGTACAAAAATAATACGTTTTGAAATCGTAAATTTATACTAAAAAGTTTACCTATATACATATATATATATATATATGTATATTCGTATTCAGATCACATTTCTTGAATGATCACAATGATAAATTACCTGTCTAGTATCACTACCGTAAAAAGAAAGAGTGAAATATGAAGTAGTAATTTCGATTTTCAACTACACTAATAACTAGGTTATTGGGACAAGAAAGTTGGAGTATGATGAGATATAAAGAATGGGAGGGAGAAAACTCGTACATAAGAGTACGCATTTGGTCTTGTATAACTACGTATATGACTACGAAACTAAAAAATAGTCTTTAAAAAATCTTTTTACCACGATTGAAAATAGAATTACCTATTTTTTTATTTGTATATTAAAAGTAATTAAAAAATGTACGTAACTCAAATTCGAATTACCATTTTAGAATTAGAATTAGAAATGCTAATTATGTATTATTCGTTTAATAAATAAATTTTGTATAGTTACATTCCCTAATGTAACTGTCGAATATAAATGTATTTTAAACAGCTAGTAGTGTACAAATTACTTTATATCAAATCTTATGACTAGAGTGCCATCTATTAACGTGTACAAACGTTCTCTTTGCCAATCAAACGTTACCATGTAATCAAAATTTTCTTTTCCATAAATGGCGCTAACATTATTTAAACTTTAAGTTGAATTAAAAAGCTTAAATTCAATATTACACCTGCGAATATTACTATATTTGTTTTTACACATAAACATTACAATATTTAAATTGCATATAAAAAGATAACTAATATAATTACAATATATGAAACATTGTAATTTAATTATTTGTATAATTAATATTCATTGAATTTTCTAATGTTCGGATTAAAAAACAATTGTATTGTAATTTCACAGTTGATAAAATAACAATAAATTTATAACTTTCTTTAAAACAATAGTCTTGCTCTTTCCTTATTTACCTGCTGCCAAGAAATAGACAATTTGAAGCATTTCTGGAAAGAGTCGCAATACATAATAAGCGCTACAAATCTCGAAAAGTCTCGTTGCGAGATGTTAGGTACTGTTTTCGACAACTTCAGACAAAATAAATGTTATCACATTTAACATTACAATGAAAACAATTACGCATTGTTTCAAATTTAAAAGAAACATGTGTAAATGTTGAGATCATTCTCTTTTAATTTTATTAGTTAAGATAGAATAAAAGAAATAACATTTCCCGGGTAATGTAAGAATATAGTAAAAACGTTGACAGTGGTACAATGTTTGTTAATTAAAACTATACATACAACAATATTGTAATAGTGTAACTGGAAAATATTAAAAATAATATATTCAGTGTTGTATTATAAATGGCCCTATTATTCACAAGCATGTGGGATTGTACAATGCTTTTGAGCACCTTAACCCCAAAATTTTATGTTGCTCTCACTGGAACATCATCCTTAATTTCTGGATTAATTCTGATTTTTGAATGGTGGTATTTTAGAAAATATGGCACATCTTTTATCGAACAAGTATCTTTAAATCACATTTCACCATGGATTGGTGGAGGAGACAGTGCATCAGATGGAAATAATACAAGCCTAAATGGTTCAAATTCGAATCAACAAAATGTTCCAGAATGTAAAGTTTGGCGTAATCCAATAAATTTATTTCGGGGGGCTGAATATCAAAGGTTTTATTGGGCTACCAATAAAGAACCATTAACTTACTATGATATGAATTTATCTGCTCAAGATCATCAAACATTTTTCACTTGTGAAGGTGATACAGGTAAATGTTGTGCAAACAATATTAGTGTATTAGGAAAATTATCAAATATTAATTATTTGCTTTTAAAAGGTAAAGCTGAGTATGAAATTATGCAAACTGCTTGGAGAGAACGTAATCCGGTAGTTCGAATAAAAGCTGCACATAGTGCTCTTGAACGTAATCCTGATTGTGCACCTGCATACATTTTACTTGCTGAAGAAGAGGCTACTACTATTGTAGAAGCAGAGAAAATTTTAAAACAAGCTTTAAAAGTAGCAGAAAACAATTATAGAAAATCTCAAAGTACACAACATCAAGGAGCCATTGCAGAGGCTATACACAGAAGAGATACAAATGTATTAATATATGTTAAGCGAAGGTTAGCTATGTGTGCAAGAAAATTAGGGAAATTAAAAGAAGCAGTAAAAATGTTTAGGGATCTGACAAAAGAAGTTCCACCAATTATGAATGTACTAAACATTCATGAAAATTTAATTGAAGCTTTGTTAGAAATGCAAGCATATACAGATGTTCAAACAGTATTAGCAAAATATGATGATATTAGTTTACCAAAATCAGCAACTATTTGTTATACAGCTGCACTATTGAAAGCAAGAGTAGTTGCTGACAAATTTTCAACAGATATTGCTAGTAAAAGAGGTTTAACTACTCCAGAAATGATAGCAGTTGAGGCTATTCATAGAGCAGTTGAATTTAATCCTCATGTACCCAAATACTTATTAGAGATGAAACCTTTAATTTTACCTCCAGAACATGTATTAAAAAGAGGGGATTCGGAAGCAATTGCTTATGCATTTTTTCATCTTGCTCATTGGAAACAAATGGAAGGTGCTCTTAATTTATTACATTGTACATGGGAAGGTACCTTTAGAATGTTACCTTACCCTTTAGAAAGAGGACATTTATTTTATCCATATCCAACTTGTACAGAATGTGCAGATCGTGAATTGTTACCTTCATTTCACGATGTTAGTGTTTATCCTAAAAAAGAATTACCATTTTTTATTTTATTTACAGCCGGTTTATGCTCCTTTACAGCGTTATTAGCACTTTTAACACACCAGTATCCCGATACTATGGGTGTAGTAGCACGATCGATGCTTGCCTGGTTTTCTCATCCATTTTATTATATTTTAGACAAATTAGAAGCAATTGTACCTTCTAATTTATTACAACAACTTTCTAGAATATAAGTCATTTTTATGATCTCTGTAATTATAACTTATTGTGATATTTATGATACTTATGCTTTCATTGTCATATGCATCAATTATACATGTACATCCGTACTTCCCGAATTTCTTATGACTGATGATATCTTAATATGTATGTATTTATAGAATTATTTACTTAACGTTGATAGTTAAAGGCGTTGTGTAGTGATCAATGTACAATTAATAAAAATTTGAATATCTTTGAATCATTTTTGTATTTCTTTTTTCATATTTACGTATTTAAAACTTATAACCTAATTTAAAATGTTTGGGTATATCAATCAACAGTGGATTTGATTAAATTTTATATTTATTTAATAATTGATATTATCAGTAGCTCATAATTGGTGGCGAAAGAACAAGGCAAATCAGAGATATTAATATTTCGAATGGTACAGAAAATGTGGAATTTATTGTATGAAATTAATGAAAACTCTTATTAACATTTATAATTGCTTACAGTAAACAGCAGAATTGCATTAAATATTCAACAAAAATTAGCGCAACAATATTACGAAACATACAATATTGAAATGCAATGTGTATTGAGCATTATGCAATATCAATTATTCTTAATCTCTGATCCGCCTTTCTATCATGAGACGGTTATGACAGAAAAAAGAGAGTTAAGACACTTGGAAGTCAGAGGGCCCAGGTTTCATACGTGGACCACCTCGCTATGACTTTGATTTTACTTCAAACATTCATTCTCGATTAATCTTAGTTAATAAGTGATAAAATTTGTCACTTTATGTACAATACCTCTTTACTTTATAATTTACTTACTTAAACGAACATATGTAACGCAGAAATACTATTAAATAACTATCTTCACACAACTAAGATATTTCGCATTATCACTATTAATGTATGTGTGTAATAAGAACATGTAAAAACTTTCAAATGTGATCCTTAAACTTTACTATATAGTTATCCTTAATATATCATTACAATTAAATGTATTTATAATAATAGTAATCTATAAAGTAGGAAATATTTTGAGTATTCGTCTCCTGCTAATATCTGAGCTTGTGTACACACTTCTTTCACTTGAAGATCCCGTGTGAATCTTAAACACCTTATAATTCCTTCACATAATCATGGTGGGATTACTTATTGCCGAAAATTAACTACGAAAGGAATTCGACGAAAGTTCACATAATGTATATTTATGTACAAACTATAGATTGTCCTTTTTTTAATAGATCAGTTTTGTCAGTAGATCAACGCACGTAGTCACTTCACTGTGTTCAAATTTGATCGTTCCGCCATTTTCTACAAATAAGGCACCTTTAACAAATTACGCTGTTATAGGCTATAACGATCTAGCAGTCCAACATTCAGTCAACGTCACAAAATCTGCACCGACGATAGTTAACTTGTAGGTAGTTGCCAATAAGGCATACATAGTCATTTTAACGTATATAACAAAACCAATTATACATATTTAATATTACTTAACAATTAAACAATTAAAATTTCATAAATTATTCCCTGTTTCATTTCTCATTTTTCTGTTTTACAAACAGAAGGCATAACACTTTTGTAAACAATATTTTTTTGCAAATCATTCTTAATTAGTAATAAATGTAGTATTTATACAATTTTTTATGACAGATAATATAATACTTTGAGAAACTAAGGAATAATTCAGGATCAAGTAAAATTAATCTATTAAAATCAGCTTATCCTATTTGGAATAAATCTATTCTTTTTTTTTTTCTTTTTCGGGTAGCATTTCCTATTTATCGTTCATATTTGTATATGATCGAATAATTAGCTTCAAAGATAATTTGTGCATACGGAATGCTATAAAGTTTAAACGTTTCTGGAAGAAGTACCATATTATCAACATCAGTTTTTTTTCAACTTTCTTATAAAAATCATTATCCTTGGCATACGGATAGAAATTAATATTATTATTAAAGGGTGCCATTTGCGAAATATTGATACCGATCATATAATTTAGTAGACCACGAATGGATACTGGCTTCAACTAAATCCTCCACATGTCGTCGTAATTGATCCTCAGTTAATGTAAGATGGAATCTATTTTTCAGTCCTTGAACCGTTGCTGCACCACCACTACGAAAACATGGAAGTTGCGACCCTATAATAATAAACGGTAATAAAAATTATAATTAAAAAAAAAATTACTACTTCAAACTTTATTCGAGAAACTTTTACCTGATAACATTATCTCTACAAGATTTACAATTTTTTCCATATGTTTTCGAGCTGCGATTAATCCTTGGAGAATTAAAGTTTTAAATTCTTGAAATTGTTTAGATTGACTTCCGCCCATTACTTCCACAAATTCTGGAGTTAATTTGAATGGACTGGTTTCGAATCCTAAGTTTCTTGGCGAAGTTGAAAGAATAAACCCAAAGTCTATATGTATCAAGTGACCGTCACTATGAAGTAAAATATTTCCATTATGACGATCTTTCACTTGAATGAGATAACAGACAAGGCAATATGCCGCGCAACTTTGAATAAAATTTCTTTGCGCAATGATAAATGCTTCTGACGTTGACGGACCAAATTCTCGTTCAAAATATTGATAAAGCGTTAATTGGCACTGCTTCTTCACTTGGTGAAGTGATACAGTATTTAAAATTGGCTCGATTAAGCCACTATCATTGGATAAACATAAAATTCTGTGAAAGAAATTTCATATTTAATACATCATTTTATAGATAAACTGTTAAAATATACACGATAAATATAAACAATAAAATTGTTCGTACTTGTATGGTCGCAACCAGAGAGGTACGTGTTCATCTTGCCAAATTTTTTGTAGCATCGAGAGTAACTGTGAAGCAAGAAGTTCTTGTCGAAGATCATCACCACATTTTACAATGACAGCAAGGAGTTTCCAAGATGCTAAATGACCATATGGACTGGATGTTCTTATGCGACGTTGTTTTAATTCCCATGGTTCCTTCAAAACGGCAGCCGATGGATCTTCCGGATCATGATTAAACGTCGCACTAGGTGTTGCAGCCATTTCGCTTAACCGCCTCTTTATATCGCCAGGTACAAATATCGGTTCTTTACTATCCGATGATTCTTGACTTAATTGGGATATCGTATCCCTATCTTTTGGTTTACGAAGTTGTAAATACTGTATGAAGAAACAAAATTACTAGAGATTTGTGTTTCTTAAATTAAAAAAAAAAAAAAAAATAGAAGAAATTAACGATATAAAAAAATACCTGTTGTGTGATTTCATCGTCCTCTTGACTCCAACAATCATTAGGATCGTCATCAGGAAAACTAAATGCAACTTCCGTACTTCTAACTGAATACGGTGAAATATTTTTAACCGGTGTTTGTCTAATCAGTGGTATGTTCTGCTGCGTTTCTGAAGTAGATATGTTTGACGAACTCATTACATTAGACTGCTCGCCTCCAGTTAAATTTTCTTCAGACTTTGTGTGCCTCAACGAACATCCTACTATTTTCGTCGGTACAGGTGACGTATAAATATCTTCTACTTCTAACACTTCAACATAAATTATGTATGGTGCCTACATGTTTTAGGACATATTAATAAATAATCACAAAAAGAAATCACGAGTTAATAATTAACGAATCGTTAAATTTTCGAAAGTGTTCACCTTATCTTTGCTATTAAGGACAGCAGCGTATTGTGGCGGCACTCGTACGATATGATGTGGTATTGAACTGTGCAAAGGAAGCCACACCCTTGCAGGGAGATTCAAATTGAGAGTATTAAGCTCTGCTATTAATTGAACAGTTTTACTTTCCTTTGTTGGAATAGTTCCAAGTAATTTACCAATTGATATTAATGCTTGTATAAATTCAAGTTCTGGAGCAAGACGTGGTGCCTACAAATACGAAGTTATTTTAATTAAATTTACATATGGCTAAAATTACATATTACAATTATATATGTTATGAAAATCAGTAAATTACATTGCAAAAACAGTCGGTCTTTTGTCCACGTAAATCATTTACCACACCTTGGCAGGAATAAAAACAGGTACAACCATTGTCAAATGCTCGACCAGAGCTCAGGTCCCCAAGACTTACTTTATTTATTGTACCTTGAAATAAATTGTAAGTATGTGAATGGTGAAATTTCTCTTTACGTAATTTTTGCTTCTACTTTTACTATTTCATAACAAGACAAGACATCAATTCGCGTAATTAATTTACCGGAATGACTACGACGTAGAGTTTGAAATAATCCTGTGGCATCAGATTGAGATCTTTGGTGTGTCTTTTTATTAGGAGATGTAATGTTTTGCATCGAAGTTAATAAAGGCGGTGTGGAAGTTTGTAATCCAACTATACGTTTTTTATTCTCATTTCCTTTTGGCCTAACATTTCGTATAAGAGAAGAACGAAGTATAAGAAACGACATATATTTTTATATCATACGTAGGATATTTTCATATCTTATTCACCGATGTATCGTTTACCTGAGTTCATCCGAGAGGATAAGATTTTTTAATTTGGTCCCATGAGACTTCTTTTTGGATGGCAAATGAGCATCGGAACTGTATGCATCTAATAGCCAGGCACATTTTAACGAAAAATCAGCAGACTGTCTACATCTAACGGATAAACAAATTACAATATTTTAAGTATTATTCATAGAAATATACATTCAACTTTTTACCTTTTTCTTACCAATATATACTTACCTATGGACAAGATATGGATAAAGGACTTCTGTAACATCATGAAGTTGTATATACATCACGACTAACTGTGGCAAATAGAAGTCCACGTCGTTATCTGGGAAACTAAACATCTTGTTCCCTGAGAAATTTTATACATATTTCAACGTTTACAGGACAAACATCTTTAAAATTAATTATTAAGGGTATACATTAAAACAAATTGTGGGCTATATAATTTATCCACATTAATGGGATGCATAAAGCAAATCTAAATCACGTTAATGCTTCAGGTATGGTTAGTAAACGTATGAAACCATACATGAAATTATAACACACAGAAAACTCGTATAAATGCTTACCAAGGTAACTCTGTACGCCAGGCTCTTTCGAATTGAAAAGATAAGAAATCGCCATAGACATATCGAAAATCTGGCTTTCGAACAATCTGAGCAAACATCCCTCCGATGGTTTCGGTTGTACCGTCTCTTCCCTCCGGCAAACGACACCAATTTGCTTTTTCACAGCTGCCTCGCTAGTCTCTGATTGCACGGCGGTCCCGCAACACAAAGTCATAGCCGCGCCGGCCAATTCACTCTGTTTATCGTTCACTGGCAAGACGTCCATGGAATTTTGGAAGTTCCGCATGTCGACTGTCACACCCATATCAGTGCATCGTTGTTCGTCATGCACGTACTCGTGGTCTTCGAGTTCTTTGACCGTACAGACATTATTGGAGCGCGGTTCCTGCGAACCGTGATCACCACTGGTCGCATTCTCGTGTTTATACGGCTCACTACTACTATTATAACTACTACTACTACTACAATCACCACCCTTTATCGACGAAGGTTCACTCAAGTGCACCAGTTCCACAGGTGACACTGGCACCGACACCGACACCGACACTGAGACAGCACTAGTTTCTTCGCCGTCCACCACATCCATGCTATCCATGTCACCTGGCTGAGATAACGTGGAGTCGAGACTCTCGCGGCTATGCAGGTGGTCGACGCTCGACTCTCTGGTGGCGGCGTTCGTTGCGTCGCTGGAACCGCTATCGGAACCGCAAAGTATACCCGAGTCGTCAGACCCAAGGCTGGCGAGATCCTCGCGTTCCCGGCTGCGCGCTTTGCATGCCGGTACCGCGACCGCTTTAGCTACCGGAGCTGGTGTCGTCTCGCATTCTGGACTCGGTGTTACGTCCACTTCAGGAATACGTTGTAGCGCGGAATCGAGACTTCGATTTCTGTGATGATGCGTCAGCGTCGTCGCGCTCGCTTGTGGCACCGGTGGCAATAAAATACCCATTGACCTGCAAATACAGTCCAATGAATTTCCAATGTCCATTTCGATACGAATCCTATTCTATTTACCATTTTACTCCACGTACAGAGTACACAGTCTACCCAACGTTTAAGACCAATGTACAAATATTTTACAAATGTTTGCTTATTCGTAGCTAATTATTACATCGATGTTACACGTTATAGTGTGTACATACTCCACGACTTAAATAATGCCATTCTATTTACCATTTTACCACGTGCACAGAGAACACGATCTAAACTAAGTTTAACACCGATGTACAAGTATTTTACAAACGTGTGCTTATTCGTAGCTAATTATTACATATTATCGCCGTTATATGACATAGTATATACATATTTTACAATAATTTATTTTTCGACGGCTCTTCGGATCTGGATGCAGGATTCGCTCGGGATTACATTATTTCCAGTATCAGCATACATACGTGTTTGTTTCGAACGTTTATAGATAATACGATGATGGACTATGTTGCAGATAAAGAGGAGCCAAAAAATCACCTTATCGGCGGCTATAAATATTCTCCGGAAGCAAGCAACGTGCACGATAGCTTCATTTACATACCTAAAGTCCAAACTGTGATTTCTTTGATGCGTGGTCAGCCTATTACGGGTGTTGATCGGTGGATTTGACCGTCCGTGCACAAGAGGAACATTACAGTTGACTAATTTATGCCTTTTGATGTGTGTCACGCTTTCCTGGCGTGTCGATTCACCACTAGGTGTTACAGCCGCTACTTCGCTCATATTAAAGTTGAACGAGCATCAGCTCGGCTAACAGTCATCTGCTGTTCATGTTGATCGTCCACCTACGGAAAACGGTACACAATGAGATGGTTGGGCAGACTGTATCGGGGAGTGAAGAACTGTTCGCGACGCGCGAATTACCGATTGACGTTTCATCGAGACAATCGTGACAAATGTCGTACGATTCAGATAAATGATAAAAACTTCTGCGAAATTATTTAACGATAACATCATCTAACGATAATAAATCGGAATGATCTCGACGAAATGTTTTGGAGACGGCGCGCGGGTGTCGGGAACATGGAATCTAAAGCGAAGCGTTTTACGGCCAGTTATCAATGCCATCCAAAATACGATAAAGTAATTCGTATTTTAGATAGAGCATAAACATACGGTTAACGGGCCAAGTCATCAATGAATAATGTATCCAGCGTGATGTATAATGGAAAAGTTCCTTGTGCATTAAGCAAACAAATAGCAAGGGAAAAGGTAAACAAATAAGAAAATGTTGGAGCGCATGCGCAGAAAGTCAATCGTACTAGATTATAATCGTCTTACGATTGTATTCCGTTTGCCTTCCCAATTTACCATTTTATTAGACGGATCGCTGTTAAACGATTTAATCGGAAAAAAGAACAGCATTGTGTAACCTAACTCGAGTACGTGTATTTTGATATCTAAGAACCCGCAAGTTATTTATTATATCAGCTATAAACGCGAGAGCGTGTCAAAATTCTAAAGCCCGTAATCTCGGCTATAAACGAGTAAGAACGTTAAGAAATAATGCGATCATATATATGGTGAAATTTGGCAGGGCGATCATAATATGTTTTCGATGGTGATCTCATCGCGAACGCGACGAGTTCGATACCGCTTGAAAAAAGGAAAAAATGCGTCTTTTAGAAATGCGCATGGATGATCAACCACGCAAGGCGGCACCGTGACAGGAGCGTGAAACTCGTGCTAGGTACGAGAAAGTCGAATGCCAGTCGGAACAAAGCGTACGTCAGAATTTTGCCTCCCTACTCCACGACACACAATCCTTACGTGCTTACGATATTTCCATTTATTTATTTATCCTCGTCTTTCTCCTTGCTCCCCGGTTCGAGGAAAACGAAAGTATTTTTTGACAACAAAAGAAAAAACGAGAAGAGGATACACGTTTGAAGATCGCTTTCTACGCGAGAACAATTTCGCATTATCGTGACTGAAATCGTACGAAACCGTGTTCCTTTCCCGCGAGATTAATCGACGAAGCGACCAGCAGAGTGAAATCCCTGGGAGAGGAATAATTCAATAAGGAGGAAAATGGAGCGAAGTCTAAGCTGCGGTATGCCGGCTTTTTACTCTCCCTCTTTTACTCAGGGACTCGTCCTTCCGCTCGGTTCATATTCACACGCTGGCCAGCGGTCGCGCAGCGATGGGTGTGCCAGAAGCATAGAGACCAAGCACTGCTTCTATATTGACAACCAATGAATCCACACCCCCATAGATATTCTACCTCTCCCTTATTCCTATTGCTACTCCATCCAATCAATCGAACGCGGTAAACCCCTTTTACGCTGAATGATAGAGTGTCAAAGGAGGGAATAAAAACGGAATGTCAATACAGCTTACCTCGTACTTGAATTGGAAACTCTGTTGCGATTGAAGCTGCACCATGCGTGGACGTCTTCAATTTTGTCTGTACAGCGCGTATAATAGAGTGCGATTGAATAGTATACGGGACAAGAAATTGGAGGAAGAGGAAAAGGGAGAAAGACAGAGAGAGAGAGAGAGAGGGAGGGGGGAGAAAGAGAGAAGAGAGAGAGAGAGAGAGAGAGAGAGAGAAAGAGAGGGTCACAACGTGCCGGAACGGTGTACCGTAGGCATTAAAATTTAAAAACACCGGCTTTCCAAGTACGCAAAATGCCACTAAGTGCGAAAAAGACAACAAGATATCCTTTCCAATGGCAGACTCAGACTGTCACGCACCGCCTTGTCGTCATTCGTTTTCAACCGATTTTGCACAATGCCTGGCTACGCCCTATATGTTCGCGCACAGAATCACACTTCATCACTTTCGTTTTTATTCTACCGAACTGCAATGAGCACAGAGATGAAAATGTACGCGGCTTTTTCAGTTCGAAACTGCAACTAAAAACATGCACGAACCAAATCTCCGTGCCAACGCAAAAGGCGACCTCGCCAAGCTTGACTACTTTTCGCACGACGACGCACTGAATACTACTCGGCACATTGCTGCCAACGAAAGGGATGCAAAGTCCAGGCAGCCATTAAACAGTGACGTATCATGGTGTAAGAAAACCCTGTACTTATTAACGAGCGTGATCAAATTTAATTTCTATTACTTGAAATTTAATATCTTCGAAATTTACTTTTACTAAATTTCTAGGAACAATTGCTGATCTTACATAATATAATACTTTTTTCTCTACTATGCAAAAAATTAAACATTAATTTTTAAGAAATATTGCATAATATGTTAAATGAAATTGCGATTTTGAAAAATGAAATTTGTATTTATATAGATTGTAAACGTACTATATTTCAAAATACAAATTTATAATCATTTTATATAATATCAAATTACAAATAAAAAAAGTAAATGAAAGGGATCAAGAAATTTCAGAATTTTAAAACTATTCGCTCCTAACGCACATGTGCCATCCACGTATGCACGTACATATACATACTAATACGAACGCTATGTGTGTGTATTTTGATACTGTAGCCAGACTGACAATATCAGTTTCTTTTTATTTACATCGACGCACTTGTAGCTATGATAATATGGTGCCAGTTATCATTATCGAAAAAACCAAATCACAAGAATAACAGAATGCAAATTGATGCGACAACTGAAAGTGTTTAAAATCGTTCTTAATCATTCTGTAGTCAATTTCAGCCGTATTTTAAAAAATCGTACGCAATTGTCCATCTTCGTAACGGCACGAAACAAAAATCGTTAATACGTGAATATTAAACTATCGGTGATTACGTTTGTTGCACTTCGCATGGGATTTAGTGAACGACTAGGTTTAGGTTGGCAGTGGCCGCTTGAGAGCTGGAATAGGAAAGGTCGTACAACCGTAAGTGCAGCTGTACTCTATCTACTAAGCTAGAGACCGGCATTGGAATCATTAGGAATTCGCGTTCCAGATGTATGTGCATACCAATGTACATAAACAAGCATTAAATCTTTCGTTTAAGTTATCCATGAGACACAGGTTATTCTTTTTATTTCGCACGTGCAATGATAAAGGTATGATAATCATACATATTTTACACGGCATTGATTATTCAAATTATTTTGTGCCGTTAATTTTTCCTGTTTATAGAACAGTAAACATATTTCAATCATTCGTATAATATAAGGAATATGATATCACACGAGCAAGATTCCATAACATTCCATAACTGTTGTATCTCTGAATACGATAACCATACCTCTTTAACAAATGAACATATAAGACTTTGAACTCTGGAATACGACGAAACGTGTTCATACGATCACGAACGTTATAAGTGACATAGATTTTCTATAACAGGCATAAATTAAGCATATTCATTTTTCCTTGCAACTATTTTCACAACGGACCGAATATCCGCGAATCTTTAGAGTAAAAGCGAATAGTCGATGCTTCCTGTAATTTTATACGCTTTCTAACCGTACATAAAAGTGAAGAATATACGTAGATTTAACTGTCATCGATTGTTTGACAATCATCAAACTGCGCCACTTTTCGAGTGCAAGATGATTTCACTTTTTATCAAGTATCGTCCATCCGATTTTTCTTCGCGTGTTATTGCAATTTGTGGTTAGACGCAAGAACGTACACATTTTCATTAGGCGTTACGAAATATCCACATACCAAGTCACAGCAGATGTTTTCCCCGTTTAGTTCTAGTCTAAAGGAGTACAACGAATATTCCGTCTACAATGCAAATTCTGCACAGATGAATTATGCGATACTCGAATTGTTTATATATAAAATAAACATGAACTAATTAAAGGAAAAGAATGAATGAAAGTATTTATGATTTCCGTAACTTGCTTACGAAATGGATGGAAGAATACGTTTGTTTCTAAGGAAAACGAAAATTATTCGTTTATTGTTAGTGATGGCAGTAATCTTACGCGAGACGCTGGCGTCGAGCCCATAAACACTGCAAGAAAATTGTACTATTATGCTTTACCGCGTAGACACCAACTATATATAGGTACAAATATTTTTTTAATCTTTTTCCAATATTAATTATCAACCGCAACTTAAGTTTTTATTTTTTTTATTTTTCCGTTACAAAATGGGCAAAATATAGACGCTTATAGCGACTACAAGAGACCGCAAAATAACCAATCACGCAAACAAGAAAATAACCAAGGGTGCTGCTGAAGCTCCGTCCATTTGCACCTGCGGGTCTTCCTCGAAGAATTAGTCATTGGGAGCGGAGTAATCGTTAAGCAGCACGAAAGAACGCTTCGTGCGAGCCACTAATGTAAACAGAACCGCCACACTGACCATGCTGTGCTTTGTATCCAGCTATGCTTTTCAGGTTCACCGTGTCAATAATCCTTGACCTATTCGACATATTAACGACCGATGGGAAACATGGAAAAGTTCATGTCTTAAAAAACTATAATCTTGTATTTATGATTCAAAAACCTATCTGTAATCGTTTAACTTCTCATTATCCGACTTCTTCGAATAGGTCGGATGGAAACATTTCTCGTTAAACACCACTGGTTGCATACTGGAAACTGTTGGAAACGGGATATTCAAACGGCAACTCTGCTGTCTATGTTACAGGACAGGGACCAACATAACTTCCCTTACCCCTCTTCTAGCATCTCACGATGTCGTATGGCATACGTCCGACAGCATATAGTCTATAGTGACCATACGGCATACGGTATATACCCACACCCAATGATGATACGCAGTCACCTTAGCAGCGGTGCTCATAATCACTAGTTCGCGTGCTATCGTTGCATTCGTCAATACTGTGTGACACTATATAGACTTCTTTAAATATGGAAAATTTTATGTACGTAATATGCGTAAAACGAATATATTTATGCGGCATAAAAAAGTTTATAAAATAATCATCGAATCTCTTGCATAGATGATTTTGTTAATGTCAAAGCTTAAAGTAGTAACTATTTAATAGTTGATACATTTTCTTTCTTTTGTGGTTGGACCAATTTTGTTCTTTAATGTTTAAATTTAACTTAAAATTATTGTAGATAGTTTATACCAGATGAACTTTCGAATTCCAGATGCTGTTCCTGCATCCTAACTCATTAACCTTTGGTATGAAAATTCAGAGCACGAAATAAAAGTATTTAGGACCAATGATAACAATCGGTTTGTGCTTATATCAAAATTTCCATTCTCTGGCTGCACGAACATGTTTCACAAGTAGTCGATTATCTGAAGATGCTGAATTTCAAATATAAGTCAAGAAGTGGAAAGATAGCCGTCGCGACGGCTCGCTGAACCTTATGTGTCTCACAGTGTCACCACAGCCTTGACCTTCTATTATAACATTAATTAGATTCAGAAGCTTTCTTGTTCCAGACGCCACTCTTGAGCCATTGGAATTCGAATAACAAAATTTTTCGAGTAAGTTTCAAAATATTAAGGAACGTTTATCTCATAAATTTTGTATTACCGTATATGTGTTACATAACATTTAGCAAATCAGATATGGGTTCTCGTTAATTCAGCCATAGCCCGCTAATTGCGGTATTTTCAGGCAAATCGGTAATTTCCTTACAATTACTTTTTACGTAACTACAAGTTATCAATGATTCATCGTTTTTTTACTTCATATTAGCGTCGATTAAGTACCGATTGTACCAGCATTCTTTGTACATGCACAGTCCTTGACGTACGTTTTCTTCTTCAGTTCTTATCGTGAGCATTCTTCCGTACGTTATGATTAACCTTACTGATAAAGCCTATACATGAATGATTTGCACATGTGTCGCTGTTCATCCTTCCTGCACGGAGATATACGATTGACGCGATTTGAGCTATTTTACATACGTCTATTATTTGCAGTTATTATTTGCAAATTTCGTGTTTTCTTCTCTTCGTGATCGCTAGCGATTTTCTCAAAATTTTAAAATATATAATCTTGTGCACACTCGCGTCTATACGTAGCACACAATTTGTCCAAGTTCTTTCTAAGCTGGCAAGCGACACACGCGCTTGATCCCATATTTCGCTAAGATTTCTCCTCCTCGTTCTACTTTCAGTGCAGATGCTCCATCATAATAGTTTCTATTTTCGGTTGGAGGGTTGGCTACACGTTGTAGGTGCAGATGTTCACTGCTGAGCTAAAAGCGTTTGGGGGAGAAGGTCGAGCTTGGTGCTACGTATTTTCACGAGACTAATAGACAAATAGGTGAAGTGCTCTCATTTTTCGAAGAAACACTTGCGCGAGAATCGTGCAATTGAATATTGGTCGTTTGCGGAACCAACGAAGCACGAACAGCGAATTAGAGTTAAGAAAAGGAAATATGACATTCGTTTTACACCTGGAATCTGTGTACGATCATTATAAACTCTGAACCGTACAGGAAACGTAGTACGGGGACACGATTTAAGTCGTGATGAAAATACAAAGGGTGCTATAAAAATACTGATGGAGTAAACGAAATAGTAAGTGTAGAAAAAGAAAAGAATGAATGAAACGTAGTGACGTCTGCTAAGGACGACCTTCAAAGTATACTCTGCTAATGCAACTAAAGACTCGACCATAGACATGGTCGTACATATGAT